AGGTGCCGCATATGGCCGGGGGGACCAAGGGTATGACCAGGACAGGGCAGGAACCGGGACTCCTGCAAAGGGACCACTGCCAACGTGCCTGACGTCCTCTGCCACTTTGCTGCGACACCAGTGCTCTGACGAGTCCATGTCCCCATAGCCTGGCTGGGGACCAGCTGCAGCACTGATCCCATCCTCCGCAGCAAAGCAATCCTCGGCAGCTCCCTCCCAAGCAAAACCCACTTTGTCCTCTCGCCAGCCCCTCTCCTGAAGCTGGCCTGCTCCACCAGCCCACCTGCATCTCCATCACCTCCCTCCGGGCACAGAAAGCTACTGCAAAATGCATTAATCACCACATCTGCCTAACAAGTGTATTTGTGGGGAGGGTGCAGTGAGCGCGATACAGTCCTCTCTGTCATTTTTCCACCTGCCTGGTATTTAGGGTGAAAAGATGATCAAGCCTGTAAAATACAATCCACTATGTGATGACTTGTAAAGCGGTAAAACGGAGACATTGAAAGTCATTCACGCCTCTTTGCGTGTCATTGCACGGTGAAATCCTACCCACAAACATAAAATTTTTCAGGTTAAAGGCTGAAAGATTTCAAAAACATATGTAGCGAAGTTGGCTCCCTCCGTAGTGGCAGCAGCTGGGTGTGCCGGGGACAGATCACGGAGCCTGGCCAAGCATCCCGTACAGCAGGTGTGGAAAGCACACAGGCCTTTCAAACACTGGTGGCAGGTCATGCCTTAAAATGTACCTTGGTGTCATCTGATAATAAAGCATAAAAAAGATTGCAGCCTCCAATCCATGAGTCCCCACCCCTGCTCCGCGGAGCAGAGCTGCGATTGCACTGGAAATGCATAAGCCACCTCTTCAAAGCCAGAGAGATTCCTCAGAAACCGCACCTGAAGCGACACGTGAAGAGCTGCGATATACGCCAGGCAAGGGCTAGAAGAAACCCGAAGTCACCCTCATGCTGACCTCCACTTTAGGGCACACGGTCCTACGCAGGGAGAGCTCCCGCTGAAAACCCCTTGACTGACACCGCAGCAAAAGTTTATCTACCCACAAGACAGACAGTGGTGAGATTTCTTAAGTAGGTCTCATCTGTATTGGTAAATCTCAGCAAAGCCACTTTCAGGTCACCGTCATCAGCCTGCCTGAGTACTCTGGGAAGAAGCAACATTTGGGATGGACCAGCAATTGCCAAGAGGGCTGTTTTCAGCCCTTTTTTTGGTGCAATGTCACAAGCTGGAGGTATCTGCTGAGGTTTTTCTGCCACTATATTTGGGATTGCAGTGGTTATTCCTAATTTATCAGTCAATGATACTCCTGTTTACTGGATGCAGCCATAAAAGGTAAAGAAGCCCCAGCAGGCATGGGTAACACCATTAAATATCGGTCCCAACAATGGTAAATTTGGTTTAAAAGTTTGGAACAGAATGCTGAGAAAGGAGCCTTTTCCTGAACCAAGGAATAACATGAAGCCCCACTTTCTCCCCTATGTGACTTTTGTCATTATCATCTTTTCTGATTCTTACAAAGCAAACCTAATTAGGAAGCTCTCTCATTAGTCTTCCAGAAAAATTAGCACAGCTTATGATAATTACTCCTGTAAAATTTAATAAACTTGTTGAAATGGGAATAGTCTAATGAGGTTTTATTTATTGAACTAAGATAACTGTGAGGAAAAAGGTTAGGACACCAGGACATCCAGAGTGGTAATAAAACTACAATTTATTCAATTTCTTCACAGGAATTTTATTGCAAACCTTTTAAATTCAAATACGAGTTACAATTTGAAAGTTAAATCAATCTAGAATTTAATTTAATAACAGGAAGTGCTCTGTGTTTTCCTGAAGTGTGATTCCAACACAGCCCTGCCACGGCACTCGGCGGAGGGACTGCGCGTTTGTGTTGTGACCATAATGCCCCTTTTAAACGAGTCCCTCTTCATCAGAGCTGCATCTCAACACATGTAACTGGATTAGCGGTAAGATATACAAGCTATGCTAAGGTGATGATTCAGACACACGCAGGTTTCCAAGAAACTTCCTTGAAATGACTGCTCTATAAGCATAATAGATTTGTTTTGTTCTCCAGAGAAAATTTAGATCGCTATGTGACTATAAATTTCTTTAGGTCCCTTTCGCGGCTATATCTGCTGATACTGTAATACAGCAAAGTATAAAGCAATTTTATAAAGGATAAAGCTGTATCTTGTTTCAAACACAACCACAGATTTTTTCAAAATCCCACATTTTGATTAAATAGAAATACACAATTTACTTTTAATATATATATAGGGTTCAAAAAAGAACACAGCACATGTAACTCTGAAGTTGCCAAACAGCCTCTTCACCGAGTTCACTAAACCACCACAAAGACAGAGCACGCTCTATCCCAAGTTTCTCTAGCCTCATCAAAGAGAATTAATCAATCCAAAACAGTATTCCAGCATGTAAGAAGAGGATAGCATTTCCTTGTAAGTACATCTGTCAAAAATCCCATAGATAGATTTTACATTAAATTCTATGTTAGGTCAGAGTCTGTGGACTCGTAGGATTTGATGCAAGAGTTAGATTAAATCCATAGGCAAGACTTTATCAGAGCGTGAGGCATGTGGGAGTGCTCCAGCCCAAATGGTAAATGAATTCTGTAAGCTCATACAAATAAAAATAGCTAAATATGGTTTTGCATATCAATTGACATAATAGTTAAAAATTGTGTGCGTGGAGAAGTGACAATAGAGTACAACTAAACACATGTTCTGACTTGTGCAGGCATTTTAATGTTAGAACAATTTTAAAGGACTCGTTTTAAGGTAAAAAGGCTCCGTATATATCACTTCATCCTTTCCAAACCAAAAGGGGGAAAAAAAATGAATAGGATAAATGTCACAAGAAACATCACTAAAGCCACTAACTGTATAAAGCCCATACTTATTTGGCCTAAATTGTTTGAACTAGCCCCGGCCAAGAAAAGGTTTTAAGTACCCTACTGGGACAGATGCGAAGCGGCAACAATAGAAGCCACACTAATGCAATCCAGGTAACACAATCCTGTTTCAAAAACACGGGGAGGGCTAATTACAGTACTGCTGAGTCAAATTTCTTATACCATTGCAACCCACAGGAACAGGTCAAAATCAAATGTTATTCAAACCACAGTCATATCAACCTCCTGCATCAAAGTCACAATCTAAAACCAAGTGAAAAACTTAAAAGCTTAACCCATTCGCAAGCCAAGCGTGATTCAGTACGGGTGGTGAGGTAGGGTTTATATTACCATCTTTAAATTATGTTTAGCTTGCATTTTAAAAATAATCTTCAAAATTGGCACCTTTTGCATCGAGTTACGTAAAGACTGATAAATTGATCACTGCTAGGAAGTTAAATCTGTTTTTTTCACGTAACTGTTTTCCTCACTTTGCAGGAAGCCTGTAACAGACAGCATCTCTGGCTTTCATAATTTGAAATGACTTGCAACTAGCAGTTTTGCATACTGGATAGTTAAACAAAATATTTCCGTAAACCTGCCATTAGCATCTTAACTTCTCGCTTTCCAGTACAATGAAAAATTCATGTGAATTTTGCAGCTTTCATGTCGCTCAAAATGCCATTCTAACACCATGTTTATAGTGTTCGACTCTGCAGCATGCTTATAAAACACATCTCTCTACAGATTTCACTGTTAGGTTTCCCCCCTCCACTCTCCCCGGTACTACCTAGTGCTCACAGAAGATGAAAATGTGCCTAGTTAGAATAGACAGAGATACCTTCCGAGATTTAAACATTCTCAGGATTACTGATTATAGCTAATCAAAACATCTGCTGTAAGCTTCCAATAGATGCACTTTCTTACCAAATTCAGACAAGAACTGTAAATCTGGGCATCTGGATGAGCACAATGCCAGGCAAGGCTCTGCCGCATCCCTGGACCACTCTCCGCGCGTGGCACCCAACACACCAAACCCCCTTCGCCTTCTTTCATAACATGGACGCACTGGCACGGAAGACACTTTAAACTTCATATAGCAAACGTTAACTCAGACAATAATGCGAGGAGAAGCACACCACTCTATACTCTCATCCCTGTATGTACAGGTAGATTCCCTTCAGGGTCTCTCTGTTCAGAGATCAGTGGAGGGGTATGGCTTTCCCCACCTGAGGACAGACACTCTCAGCACTTCACGGCCACTGAACTCCTCCAGCGTAATGCTGCGTAATGACCTGGGTATCGCACACGGCTTTGTACAATGCGTTTGGACAACTGAAATGTAAAAATGACTACTGGGCGACCGCTTTGCATAATTTGCAATCACAGAAACTACACGTGGCTCAGAAAAACTAAAATAGATGTATTGTACTACAGTGATTTACTCGGTGATGTCAAATTACCAATATGGATCTGTTTAAAAACACAATAATTAAGACAGGCAAAAATGAATTAATCAGCTGACAATACAGTCAAAACAGTATTCCAACCAAAGAAAATAACAGGAGAAAAAAACCTTACTTTGCAGATCTATTTTTTTTGACTGTTTTTATGCATAAATAAAAACCTTAAAATGTAGATGGATTGCATCCAACAGAACTACGGTAGCTAAAAGTGATAATGATTCAAACATTTTTCAAATAAAAGTTAAATATTTATAAGCACCCAACCACATTTCATAAATCACAAACTATTATTATTTTATTCCTGAAGCTTCCCTGGCACGGCATGCGAATTGAGCCACAGAAAGTCAGAAAGAAAAATCTCCTCTTTATGCACATGAATCAGTGACAAGAAGCGGAGCCCTCCAAAGAGCAGGTCGCTCCGTTATCCTCCATATGGCCCTTCCATGGCAATCGCGATTGCAAAGCACAACTAATTCGGTATCAAAAACAAAATTTCATCCGTATATACTCCTAATTGTTTCCCATTAGCAACACAGGGCAGGTGTTTCATTATAATGAGGAGGGGGAGAAAAAAAAAAATGGAAGGAAACAATAGCAGTCCTTACCTGTCAATTATCACTGGATCTGATGGAGTCTCATTTCTGTTGCCACAGCTTTTCTTGTCACAACAGCGGCTACAGAGCAAAAGTGAAAGGATTTAGTGCGACCATTACACTGTAAAATCATCATTACGAACATGGTAGGTTCAAATTGCCGGCTAGAGTTACCGCTCGGTCCCTGCCTGGAAGTCAGTCAGATGTAGCGGGTCACATATGGGTTAATTACTATGTTTAACTTCTTGCACAGCTGGTTAGCAACGGAAAATATAAAAAGAGAGGGGTTTTGCCCCTTTCACAAATAGTAATTCAAGGATCACCCGAAACAGGGAGACCTGCCTGTCTGTGGCCTCTTTTCCATAGGGTTTAATGGTTGTCCTGTATATGCGCACACAAAATCCAGCAGCTTTTTCTCCATTGAGCACTTTTACATTTGCTGAACGCCTATGTTACACATCCACACACTACTCCTGCTTCTGCACAGAGTCGAATTCTCAGCTACTGGGAAACCTCCCTCCAAAATCCAAAAGCACAATTATTCTCCCTCTGAGAAACACTGTTGTTAATGGGGGACCTAAAATGCAAGTACCATCGGCAGCGGCTTTGTAATGCTCGAGCGTGCCTGTTTCCCCAAGTTTTCTGACCATGCTAATAATCGCTAACGCCATGGAGAGCGGAGCTCCGGCGGCTGGTGCCCTGCGTCAGGTCAGATACAAAGCAGGCATGTGAAATACAAGCTCCGGCTCCCAAAGCACTGCTCCATCGCTGACCTCCAGGCTAGGATTCTTTTGAACTAAGGTGGCTCATTGTTTGCTAAGAGAAGTTAAATTGTTGTTTGTGATGATTCCTTGTCTGGGGTTAGTGTCCATTAGAAGCCATAAACGTATGGCAGGTGAGCTCACAGGCAATACACACCTTTCTGCGCAGGGTGGGAATCCCTCCTGGTGCATCGAAAGCTGCGGCTGAGCACCGTGGGGGCTGCCCTGCTCTTCCCAGCAGCCCTTCTAAACCCACAAGAACAAGTCACAGCTACACAGGTGAGCAAAGTCAGGTTTTCACCCACCCACCTGCCCGCCCGTCCCAGGGAGGAAACACCCATCTAGCAAGAAAAGCTCCTGTTTGGTGGTGGCCCTTAACAGAAAATCCCCACAGAAGTAAAGGCTCCAAGGAATTTCAAAAAAAAAAAAAAATCAAGAAGCCCCTGGTCTTTCCAAGCCCTCCTTG